AGAAAGAAAGAAAGAAAGAAAGAAAGAAAGAAAGAAAGAAAGAAAGAAAGAAAGAAAGAAAATGAAATCTGCATAAGAGTGATAAATACAACACATTATTTTGCTAGATTTGTGCTTTTAAATTCCTGCAGCACACTGAAAAGAAGATGAACTTGATTCTTTGCTTGTGTTCTCCAGGGAACATGGACTAGAATAAAGTGTAATGAGTTCAATTCTTTGCCATAATTAGAAAGAAATCTGTATTTGGAGCTCATGAAACATTTTTGGCCTCTTTCTCAGATAATCTGGGATTTCTAAAATGCGTGTGACACATGAGAAAGCAGGTTGAAATACATGATGTATTGCCTTACAAATGTACTGTTCTGGTGTTATCTCTGAATGTAAATTTGCCTCAATGTGTGCTTACAAATTGTTAAACAAGGTCATGCATTATTTTGAGTGTGTTTGCGTGTTCCTGCGCATATTTTTCTGAGAGAGCATATGCTCATTTTAATGTGAGTCTTTGTTCAGTATGTGTGCATAAGTGTGTTTTTCTTTGCTACAAAACAGGCACAAGAGCAATGTTTGTCATGATGCAATCAGCATCTAATCCACCCCATATGAAAATGCTTGACTGCTATTCAAATGGCATGCAGATGGCTTAGAAAGCTTTGGTTTTGGCAAGAATGGTGTCACAGGAAAAACAATGTTTGAGGAGACAATCTGCTGTCAGTATCTGATGGATTAATGGTGCACTTTGATGCTAAGAAACAATTCTCTTCTGGCTAAGAAGATTTTGTCAGGTGCTTATTTTACACTTTAAGTATCTGTTTGATCATTATAACTTTGTTGGCTTTTGAGGTGAAGAATAGGGATGATTACATAGTGTCATGCAACAGGTGAGGGAGATGCAACTGAAGTGTGATGAGTCTTATGTTGACTTTCATTAGTCTCAATAAACTTAAAATTTATTGCATTTATTTACTAGCGGGAAACAATTTGTGATATGCTAAATCCTGTTTATTAAGGTTAAGATTTTTTTCCACAAATCTCTTCATGTTCTCTTTTCTTATTCTCTTCAGATCCAAGAAACCATCCAGTCAAGTCAAGCACAAGTAAAGCTAACAGAGAGTGAGACCATGAAGACAAGTTGTGGCTCCTAAACTTCCAGTTCAACAACTTGTGACATAAAATGGGTCCACTGCTAATCACAAGGATGCTGAGACTGTCTCTGTGAAGGCTTCAACAAACCCAGACCCAGTTTTTAGGGGATATTTTTTCTTCCTGTTTCTTTGTTGTTTTTCCCTCTTTTGCAAACACATCCCTCCGAATCTTTGCCCTGATTATAGCCTCTATTCAACATCATTTCTTTGCACTGACATCATGCAGCCTGCTTCTGGAGCCTCTACTCTCCTCCCTATTTTTCTTCCCTGCATACTATTCTTCTCCTGTTTCCCCGACATGGCCAGTGGGGACTGCTGGCTTATTGAGGGGGACAAAGGCTACGTTTGGCTAGCTATATGCAGTCAGAACCAGCCACCCTATGAGACTATACCCCAGCACATCAACAACACAGTCCATGACCTGAGGTTGAACGAGAACAAGCTGAAAGTGGTGCTTTTCAGTAACATGTACCGCTTCACAAACCTGACTGACCTAAACCTCACCAAGAATGAAATCAGCTATGTTGAGGATGGAGCCTTTGCAGCACAAGCCAATCTACAGGTGATTAAAAAAACTGTATAATGTATTTGCTAAAATTGACTTTGGAAAGCTTCTTCTGTTAAACTAGTTGTGAGATTTAAAGGCAACAAAAATAGAGGAAGGGCACTTTCAAGTATATACTGTATTTTCTGGACTATCAGTCACACGTTTTTCATAGTTTGGCTGGTTGTGCAACTTATTCTCTGAAGGGACTAATAGTATGCAAAATGCAATGTTTTTAATCAATATGATTTTACAAGGGTGTCAAACTCATTTTCACCAACATAAATACAAGCATTATAGTTGCCATAAAAGGGCCAGTTCAACGTCATATTCCTCATCTATTGTACGGCTGAGCATTGCTGGCAAACAGTAACAGAGCTCTATGTTTCATTTCCTGCATAGAAACAGCATTTTAACACACCATCATATAAACACTGAAAAGTACTATACGACTGACTAAATGTACAATAAATAATACAAAAAAATTTTCAAAAAATACTATTTAAAATAAAAAGAGAGATTTAATCACTGTTGAGTTGTGATAAGTGGCTGCTGTCTTGAATTTTGAACCCACTTTCCGACAGGGAATTCCTATTGAAGGGGCGTTCCAGTTTAAATGTATTACTTGCAAATGGGAAATCCCCATTTCCCAGAACAACTAGGCCACAACAAAAGTATCTGGCGAAAATGCAGTGAAATAGAGTTTTTACACTGCAAATTTCACATTCTACCTGCTACTGAACCATGTGCATCTTCACCTAGTGGAGGGATGCTGTCATTTTGTGAGTAAATAATCAACATGCATTATGGGAGATGTAGGGGAGACTGGGGACAGAAGCAACAAGGGATGGTTGCAACACATCATTTTTCTCCAAAAAAAAAAAAAAAAAAAACAAGCTAGAGTGATGACACTCACACTGTACATGCTCAGTTAGAGGCCCCACCTTGCAAAGCAAAAGTAAGCATTTTCAAAAAATGCTCCAGGATTTATTTGAAAAAAAAATGTTTTTGAGGTTATTTTTGCATAATGTAGGCGCACAGTGACAATAAGCAAAACAAAAGTTAATTGCCTCACAAATTGTTCTATTATTCTTGTCTCAAAAAGCCAACTGTATTTTATGTCAATTTGAGTCTTTGACATCTGTAAGGTCTACTCATCAAGGCAAATCTATATTCATCATTTGATCAAAAAGAATACATAAATAATACTGTAATATCATTATAACACAGTTTTTTTATTAATTTAGCAATAATATAAATATAAAAATAATAAAACTTTTATTTAAAGTTAAATAATATGTTGCAACCACTCCCAAACAATGTTGCAACTGTCCCCACCCCGGGGTCAGTTGCAACATCTGACTTTTTATTTTCAAATGCAAATTGTGAAGAATGTACATGCTTTAATCATCTATTAATGTTTTTGACTATTAACAGACAGATGTAAGTTTATTGTATTAAAATTTGGTTTGTCTAATTCAAACCATCTCTGAGTAACAGAGTCAAATGCAAAAAGTGTTGCAACTGTCCCCAGTCTCCCCTAGTTTCTGGTCAACAGCACACACTTATTTTAAAGGCAGTTTATCAGTTTATCACATAGAATGCTATGGTGGGTGACATTTAGCCCAACAGCCTTGAATTTGACATGTGATTTAGAACAAAACTATTAAATGCACAATGATCAATTTAAAATAAAAACTGTAACAACAGTAGAGCAAATTACAACATTTTCTGAGGTCAGGGCTGTAGATTTTAATATGAAACTACCACAGTGCTTGTTTTTTGTGTTTCAGGTTCTTCAGCTGGGCTACAACAAGTTGACAAATTTAACTGAAGCTATGATGAGAGGGCTTGGACGCCTGCAAAACCTCTTCCTTCAGCACAACATGATTGAAGTCATTGCCAACAATGCGTTCTGGGAGTGCCCTAGCCTCAGCAGCATTGACTTGACATCCAACAAACTCACTCGCATTGACCCGTCCACATTCACAGTTCTTAGTCGTCTGTTGGTGTGTGAACTGGCTGCGAACCCTTTCCACTGTGGCTGTGACCTGTATGGCTTCCTCACCTGGTTAGAATACTTCAACAATGTGTCACATACCTATGATCGCCTTCAGTGTGAGACACCCCGAGAAATGTTTGGCTACCCCTTACTAAGTCCTTTTGCTTCTGGCCACGGTGGTCGAAATGCCAAAAACATTCTGTTCCACCATTGCAAAGATGGTGTGATGATCCCAGGAATGACTTCTCTCCCACCAGACCAGGATGGCCCTTCTGGGATTGGACCGGAGATGTTTCCTTTTTACCTCCAGCCCACCACCTCGCCCTCATCTGCTGATGACGGTGTCAGTCCCAGCATCAAGCTCCATCATGTTTCATTTTCCACAGCCTCTCTCATTGTGAAGATTCCAAAGCCTTTCAGCAAAATGTACATCCTCACACAGAACAATAACACGTTTGTATCCGATGTCATGAATTTGAAAAACAAGAAGGAGTTGATCAAACTCCAGAAGCTCAAGCCTAACAACAATTATACCTTCTGCGTAGCCTCCATCCGCAACTCACAGCGTTATAACCACACCTGTCTCCAGTTTTCCACTCGGGGGCAAAATTCGGATGATTTGATTCCCACATCTTCAACCACTACACACTACATAATGACCATTGTCGGCTGCCTTTTTGGTATGCTTATTATTTTAGGAATTGTCTACTACTGTCTACGCAAGAAGCGGATGCATGATGAGAAGAAGAAGTCCATCTGTGTCAAGAAAACTATACTGGAAATGCGTTACGGGCCTGAGGTGGCAGCAGCAGTAGCGAATGATCCGTCGGCAGTCCATAAGCTTCAGGAGCAGTCCAGAGAACACCATCAGTATCAACACCACCATGGAGGAAAAATGTCCACCTCCTCAAGCTCTGGCATGCTCCACTCAGCCAACACCACCTCCTCAAGGCTCTCTGCTATCCCTCAAGTAGAAAAGATAGCAAGTGCTTTCTCAGAAGCCATGGCTACAGGCAAAGGAAACTATATGGATGTAAGAACTGGAGGAGCGGGAATGGACAGAGTGGGAGATGGTGGGCATGGAGGGAGGAGGGGGGATGACATGCGTGACGATGATGGAACTGACCTCGGCGATGACTCGGATGATGACGGTCGTGGCTCTGCCTCAGAGATCTCCACCATTGCCATGGAGGTAGACAAAGTGAACCAGATCATTAACAACTGTATTGATGCTCTGAAGCTGGACGCAGCAGCTGTTGCTGCTTCAGGCACTTCAAACAACCCCACTGCTTCCTCTAATCCCACCTCCCCTCCACCCACCAGCACGTCCTCGCTTACTCGTGGCCTAATCCCCCTTTCAACTGGCCTGGCGGAGTCATGCCAGAGTCATGCTCCCAATAAAATACCGCCTCCTCCACCCCTTCCTGCATTAAATACCCCTCTCTCTGAACGTCCAGGCATCAGTGGTGGTGGTTTTGTTGTTTCTCCTCCGTATAGGCATCCTCCTCCAGCTACTGCTGCACGTCCCATTCAGAGGCAAATGAGTGCAGATGCAGCTGCTGTGATGGCAAATGCTGTCAAGAAGCAGAGCAGCACCACGTCTTGTGGATCCGTGGGTCGAGACAGGGACCGAGGAGCAGCTAGGGTGTACAGCCTAGATGTTCCTGAACCAAGGAGTCCTGATCCCTGTAGTCAGCAGCAGCTGCAGTTCCCAGACCGAGCCAGTCCTGTGGGCTGTGGGGAGCCTCTGGAGAGGTTACCTTTAGTGGGGAGTGGAGGCTGTGGTGGAGGGGGTGGTGGCGGTTGCGACAGTGGTGGTGTTGGTGCCCAACATCAGGACAACCAGAAGTCGCACCACTACCATCAGCAGCAGCAAATACAGCAGCAGCAGCAGCTGGAGGTGCAGCAGGACTACCACTGCTCGGAGCACCGCCACTCCGTCCCAGCTCTCTACTACCAAGGGTCGCACCAGGGCTCCCCTGCCCAAAGAGTGTCTTTTCTAAAACCTTTGACGCGCTCCCGCAGGGACGCAGCCTCCTATTCCCAGCTTTCGCCTGCTCGCCACCACTCCAGTTACTCGGGGTACTCCTCTAGTCCAGAGTACTCCTCAGAGAGCTCGCTGCGGATCTGGGAGCGTTTTCGTCCATACCGAAAAGGCCCGCGTGACGAGTCCTGTTACGTGACGGCCGGAAATGCTCTTCGAAAGAAGGTGCAGTTTGCTAAAGGCGAGGACCTACATGACATTCTTGATTATTGGAAGGGTGTATCTGCTCAGCAGAAGTTGTGACTGGGAATCAGAGTTGAGCAGCGTGTGAAAAAGAGTTATAGTACTTCTTTTCCTGATCAGCCCATGGGCCAGTGAAACRATTTGAAGTTTATAAAGAAGAAAATGTAGGTCAAATTTTGCCTTTGGGGATTTTTTCTTTTATTTTTTTGGCATGCTAGGTGTATAGAATATTGTGCTTAAAGCAAGAACTTTAAAACTGTGCCTGGGATCGGAGAGTCATTACAGTGTTTTGTTTTACACTTCTTGGTAGCACTTTTACATTCTTAATTAGTGTTGTGGGTTTTCTTTATTATACAGGGAACAAATGCCAACTTTGTAATTTAGTACTTTTTGATCTTATCATGCTCTGTGATGCTATTTTTTATTTTACCAGTGCCATGTTTCATCTCAAGCTTAAAGCTTGTTTGATCCAAGGTGTTACCCATTGTGTGTTGGATTCCACATCCATTTGCAGCTTCTAAAAGAAGAGTGAATTTGACAGGATGGGTTAGGTGGAATCAGTGCTCTGTAATAATTGACGGCAGTTAACTGGGTACAGTTTGCCTGTTTCTCTGTCCAGACACCTTGTAAGGCTGAGGTGTTTTTTCATCACCAAAGCTTTTGCTTGTAAAAATAAATTGAAAGTAAACAAGTTTTCATTAAATGAGCGATAAGAAACAAGACAAACAAGGTTTAGATTGCGTAACAGGAAAGGAATGATGAGATATAAATATTTGAAAAAAGATAGAATTTCTTCCAGAGTGTGATTAAAGAATGAGATATGGCCTTTTCAAATTTGTGGCCATATTTGGAACCAAATACCAGAAAATTTAGTTAAGAATATTTTCCCTGAAAGGGAAAAGTCTAGATCTCTTGAAGTGGGTTTTTATGAGAAAGATATGAACAAGATATATTTTACAAATTGTAGATTGCTCTTTGAAGACCTGCAGTTTGGAGAAATGAACTTCAATTCTGACTGAATAAAGGAGCTAAATGCTAATATGAATGGGTCAAATCTCAGATTGTTGCCAACTTAAACCAACTCTAATTTAAAAAATCAGTTCAGCAAATTCAATTAGACTTTATACTCAACCATTTGTTTTGCATTAGTTACTTATTTCAGAAGAAATAATATTATGTCCCCGAAGAAGTGTCCCATGCTGCAGAAGAAGTGCTACAGCTACCTGCTGCTGCTGTTTGTGTTTGCACAAAAAACATAGAAATGTAAATAATCATCAGTGATAGCGATTTAAAGGTTTATAAGTAGTTTTTTTTTAGACTGGAGTTGTCTCAAAATGGCAGCAATTTGATTTGGTCTTGGTCCCGCTTGGACCACCTGTTAGCTCATCAGTCCAGAGTTAACTACAACAGGTTAGATATTCATTGTTCACATTCTTTCCCACAAAACTGCATTTCAAAAGTTCCAACATGTCTCTATAAGTGATACTTATCATTGTAATTTAATTGCATACTTACAACAGTAATGAATCAGCTTCTAGTGTATGCCTTTACAACAAATCTACAAGAAATGTAAAATACAAAATATATGGCATTGACCAAAAGTAAACAAAAGCAGTAGAAAGAGGGGTGGAAAAGAAACAATCAGAGTGATACATTTAATTGTGTCTACAGTGAATGTAGGTGAATCCAAAACTTACTATGGGGAGATCTGTTGTCATTGTTTTGAAACAAGTACCACGGTACATTCCAAATCCTTTCTCTAACYTTAAAAATGAACGAGGCACAGTGGAGAAAGGACACTTTTGATTACTGCCAATGTGTCTGCTCGTTTCTGGAAATCAATACTATTTTTGTCTATAACTGACCTAATTAACTAACTTGTGACGGGCATGTCCACTTACACTTTATGCCTCATAATTGTGTGTGTAACTGTTTGGTACACAGTGGTCATTGTAAGCAGGTGTTGGCATGCCGTGTCGGAATATCTTGTATATGCCCAAACTGACATAAATTATTATTTGTTGGTATTTTGCCCTGTGGCTGGTTGTCTGAGTCTGAACAATGCTAGATTATTAACGGCATGTACAAATGTACAGATGTCATACATGTTCATTGAAATTGTTACTGAAATGTGACGATCCACAAATCTACAGCTCTTCTTGCTAACACAGCCATTTCTTTGTCATTTTCTTAATTATTTTGTATAGGAACATTGCCCTTTTTTTGCTTTTTCTTTTGAAGTAATCTACTTATCATATCCCTGTATGATGTGTCATCAACATTTGGACTTCCTGTCATCGGAGAAATCCAATCCTCAAAAAGTGAATGTTTAATTTGTGGCCATGGCTTCCCATTTCACTTCAAAGCTGCCTTGTAAAGGGAACATTTTAAACTTTTTCTCCAATATTCACTTGGTTTTCAGACCTTCCCTGCTCCCACAGGTCCAATAAGGTGACAATATGTGAGCAGGATGCTGAACTGAGCATGCTCTGAATGTACTAAATTGGAAACAGAATAAAACATTTTTTGAGGGAGGACACGAGGTCACGACATATATCAGCATTTTAGGTCTTAGCTTCGGTTGCTGATTTTTAGCACATTATTTAATCTTGGAAGTGAAGGAAAAGGTGAGTGGGACGTATGTAAAAGTATGTTGATGTAACTCAGAAATTATTTATTTTTTCCTTTTGTTTGTTAAACACATTTCCTGATTTTTTTCCCCATTCTGTAAAAACATGCATATTCAGAGTCAGAGTTTACATCATGATCCACCTTGGAAATTGTAAGTTTCTGTCATCTAAGATCTCAATTATTTTCACTTGAAAAGGAAACTTTCACCAGATCTTGGAAGTTTTGGAATTAGATTTTTATTCTATTTATTTATTATTTTTTATTTCTACAAGCATCTAATCAAACAGAAGAAACATGGTGCATTAAACCCAAAACAGTCTCAACTGCCATTACAAGTTTACAGAAACCAACACTGAGTTTAATCCAGTTCGATCATCATTCCATTCATTTTCATCGACCTGAAAAAATATACAGTCAAATGAATGAAAACATTGTTTGTTACTATTTTCATGGATGATTTCCTTTTCTCATATTTCTATTTTTATATGCACATTTTGCTTATCTGTGTGTTTTATCAGGAAATAGACATTCAGGTGATAGACGCTCAACTGCTCTTCTGCTCAGACTTCATTGAAAAGATTTGAAGGGACCACTGAGGGCACTTTAAATTTGATGTGAGTGGATAGTATTTTCCAAAGTAATTTCAAGATTCATAAATATAACTTTAAGAATGACCTGAAGGACTTTATAATGTTTATTTCATGTTGCACAAACTATATTTGATGTTTTAAACTAAATTGTTCAATTTATTGTCCCTGGATTTAAAGGGTGGCTGTCAAAATTATTATTGTTTTTGATTCGTTAAAAATACCAAATATAGGAGCTACAAGCAGATGCCACTCTAAAATCTCTCAATGATGCATGCCTGGAGCTGTTTTGTCCCTGAAAAATAACGTCACTGAGAGAAAATAACGTCAGCCCARGTCCTCACAATCTCCAGAAGAGTGGCCTGCATAGAGAAGGACGGTGGTTTTTGTAGCACCATCCGTGTTTGTCTCAAAACCACAGAGARGCGAGATGACGCTTGTTGAGTTATTAATGTTGAATAGTTTTGTCAGGGACGGCCTTGGTTTACTTAATGATGTCTGGATGTTATAAAAAAAAAACTACCAGACATCTTTCAGTTTCAGCCTTTTATCATTGAAAAACGACAACTAATAAACAGGTTTGGTGCAGCTGAAAAATAAATGTATCTGCATCACGTTAAAATAKCAAGTTCATGTCTGCTTATTTGCTGGTTTTATGAATACGCCTTTTGTTGTTTCTGTTAGAAATATTCATATTTATTTTGAAAGGAATTGTGTACGAGAAGCCGAATGTTAAATGTTAACATGTTAAAATAGAGACTAAATGAAACTGATATCAAAGTATAAAATACAAAACTTCAGTTAATCAAAAGTGTGAAAAATCCTATTTCTTTCATATTTCATTGATACATTATTTTTTTCTTAGTGTAATCAAAGTCTGTAGTTCAGCTTATTTCTCAAACTGGGGTTTATTGCCTTAAGTGAACATTGTATTCATGTGAGTAATCCTTACATCGCTCTCAGTCCCAGTCAAAAAGCTCCTATATGAGAAATCATCATTTCCAGGTAATCTGTGAATGTCTGACGTATCAGAGTGACTTTTTTTTTTATCATTGATCTTCCTTTTCCTCTTTTTCTTCGCCATAAAAGAAGAACAGACGATGAAAACACAATGAACAGTCAGGATGATTCACATGTTGACTAAGTTGAAATTACCTTTTTTTTCCCTGTGAGGCAGGTAATGTTCAAGGTCCTCTGGGGAAAGGCCATGAAGCAGAAATGTGGCTGAATGCAGGCGGATGATGGAGGATGTGAACGCATGGCATCACTAAACCTTTTCCATGCATGACTCAGTGCATCGCTTCAGATCAGCTGCTACACAGACGTGGTCGTATGACGGGATAAGGACAGATTCAGGAAAGCCAACAATTAAAAGCAGCTCTTATTCAGAAACTGTCAGAGGGACATCTTTGTTTGCACTTAATAATAAAGCAGGTGCCAATGCTGACAGCTGGCTGGAAAGCCTTTTATTTGATAMCTTTAGTCTTTTTGTCTCTCAGGCTCATGTGAGGGAAATTAGCTTGAGTGGATAATGTGCCATATTTGATTAGTGAAAACTGTCTTTTCATAAAAACCACAGAATGGCTTTAACGTATGCCTATTTTTATTTTTTTTTTCTGTTTCTCGGATGAGAAGCTGTTTTTAATTAAGTCAGCTGAGACAAATGAAACGTCCTAATTCGGCTGATTTCTTGTTCATCATTCTTACGGGCTGAGCACTGCCGTTGATTTTTTTTTTCGACTGCCATGTCGTAAAAAAACTAAAAACTTTTATCATGCTCAAAGCTTTCACTTCCTTTTATAGTTGTCAGAAAATTGCATTAGGCTTCATATGTTACCGTCACGCAATCTAGTTTCTGAGCAGAAGAGTAGTTGTTAATCCCGTCACTGAGCTGAGTTGGGCTAAAGGTTTGCCACCTGATTGGACCCAATTTCCAAAGATGGTACAAAAGACTTAATCTGTGAAATATCTGTGAATTTTGTATACAAGATTTAAAATAAAAAAGACTAATAATGTCAGTGTTAAATACTTCTATCAATGTTTTTTTTTACTCAGCCTGATCTCTTGGTTTGTCTGTGTGCTTATTGGTTTTCAGCTGTTTAACTTGTTTTTAGGGGGAAATCCAGGGATCAACCTTAAATATTTGCAAAGGATTATGAACAGAGAAAGCTTAACTTCGTGTACTACATTAAAGAAAAAAAAACAATGTTATGTTTGCATGATTCCTGTATTTTTTGAGAGACAAAAAGTATATTGTTGTGTACAAAGAGTGAACGTACATTGAAAAAAAAACTATGGGGACTGAGATGTTGAAGAATTTTAATTTTGAACATTAAGAGATTTTTGCTGTTTCTCTTCAGCTGTTTTTTCTGTGTGCGTCTCTGATGTTTTGTACTTGCATCCCTGCTGACTCTCATTTAAATTGTATTGCTCACCAASACTTCAGTTATTCTACTCATGGCCAAGAGCTACCCCCACCATAGGCTGAGGGCAGTGTACATTAAAGCCAAGGGGCTAAAATAGTTTGGTTGCTTACACCCATGTGCGGATTTGAAAAAAAAGATGCCTTTCTGACTTAAAACGCAACCATATCATGGTGGTTTTTCTTCTTTATTCAGCTTTTTCTTCTGATTTAAAACAAATCACAGCTTAAGCAGAGTGTCCTGAAGGGATGCCAGCTTACACACAGCAGATAATGTGATGGTCTGAAGCTAATCTCAGTCCATCACTTCAAAGTCATTGGTGAATTAACGCAGCATCAGCAGCTCCTCCATGAGATTCTCTCTTGTTGTTAACTAAATAAAAAATATATTCTTCCTATCCTGGTCTTGGTGTAATAGTTAGGTCTTTTAAAGGGTCCTCTGGAAATGTTAAAAACTGTCAAACTCAATTACCTCTCAGACTAGCTCATCAATCCTGTCAGAATGGAGAAGGGGGTCTCTGCAGCCAAGAAGTGGACGTTTCTTGGGTGTGGGCCTAGTTCGGGAGGCCTTGATTGCTCTGATGGACTTGTGGGGGAAGTTCAAAGATGAAGTGATGCTATTGATAAAATCTTTGTGAACCTGTAAATATAATTTATTGACTTCAAATTTGATGCAGCTAGCACCTTCCTGTCTCACGTTGTGACTAAAATTGATATTCTTAAAATTAGCATCTGGATTGTTACATTTCTCCCAATCTGTCTTTACCCAAACCACGCCCACACCCCTATCTGACCAACTACAGTTTATACAAACCACGCCCACACCCCTATCTGACCAACCACAGTTTATACAAACCACGCCCACATCCCAATCTGACCAACCACAGTTTATACAAACCACGCCCACATCCCAATCTGACCAACCACAGTTTATACAAACCACGCCCACAT